CGGGATACGCGAGCCGTTCCAGCAAAGATCTCGAGAAAGAAGGGCACAATCAACGTGCGCGTAGGCCCGCTGGAACCTGCAGCGGCGCGCCCGATCTCTGCAGGGCCCTCGGCACAACCTCCAAACAGATGGCGGCGAATTCTCTCATCTGGGCTGAACGCTGATTTAGGAGCTCGTTGATCCGCCCTCCTTCTTGATAGCTCCTCACACTGCTGTCTGATGACCACCTGACGCACTGCTCGATCTCCGCGATCGTCTTGCGATCCGCCAGGACGTCGGCACTTGGCCCTGATTGACGGAGACGATGCAACGCGATCTCGTTGATCGCCTTCCCGAGGCCGAACTCGCGGATGATCTGCGCCGCGATCTCGCCGAGGGCAGACAATCCGATCCCTGCCAGGCACTCGTTCGCTGGGCGGATCCGTCGAAGCCGCTGGTTCATCCCCCACGTGGTGCGGAGAAACTCGCCGGGGCGAACGTAACCGAGGTGTGCCGCCAAGACTGCCGCGCCTTGCTGCAACCCCCCCTGCGCGATCAACTTGTTCGCCACCACAAAGATCAGGATCTCGGAAACTGGCCATCTCGACGTGCCTGGAGCAAGTCGGTGCAACGCCACGGAACATGCCCGTGCCTGAAGGGGGCTGCACACCTGCTCGCCCGCGGGGGCGAAGGCCCAGGACAGCGCGGCCAGCACCCGGCCGCCCTCGCTCTCCTCTGTGCCCTCGAAGAGCTCCTCGTAGAGGTGCTCCGCCTCCGCCGCGTCCAGGCCCACCGCGCTCATCTGGCTGAGGAAGCTGATGATGCGACTCTGCGCCCGGTCCAGCTTCGCGCCCGTCACGTTCTGCGCGATCACCATCTCCGAGCGCCGCGCCAGCCCCGCAACCCGACGGAGGTGCGATCGCCTCGCCGGCGCTCGCACCACGGCCGTCTCCAGCACCGTCCGACCTGGCCAGGCTCGCACCGCGCCGCGAGCATCCTGCCGTCGCCGAACTCGCCGACATCCATGCTCTGGTGCTGTGGTCGGGGCCAGGCGCCGCCGTGGCAGGCAAGGATCCTCGGCTGGCGCCGCGGCCGGCGCGACCAAGGCCAGCCCTCCCGCTGAGGGGGGGGGGGGGCGGGTCACGCCCGGCTGCAGCGCTGGCGAGGCTGGCGCCTGGCGGGCCAGGAAGCGCCCGGCGACGCCACTCCGAGAGAGCACTCTCTCCCCGCGCGCTGCCCCAGCCACGGCGGAACTTGCCCTCGGCGTTCGTTGCACCAGCATGCCGCAGCCCGCGGCGGGACGGCTCGTCAGCCACGTTCCTCTCGCTGGGCACCCATCGCAGACAGAGCTGGATGTCCCACAGCAGGAGGAGGGAGGCCAGCTGGCGGGCGACGCGGCACTGACCTGGCGCACTCGACCTTCCCTTTTGAGCCGAGAGCAGTGCACCCATGGAGTCCGTGAGAATGAGGACCCGCTTCTGGATGTACTCGCGAGTCTTTGCGACCCTCCGGAGGACCCCCACCAGGCCCCGACCTTCGAGACAGGTGATGTGCTCACTACGCTCCGAAGCCTTACTACTGACCGTGTGCCACTTAGCATGCAACAAGCTAGTGTGAAGCCCTGGAACAGGAGGCACTCTTCGAAGGGAACCTTCAGGTGCCCCGGCATCATCATCACCCCCTTCTTCCAGTACTGCCCGTGGATTAGCGCGACCTCCTCCCAAGAAGTGCCAACGATCTGAATACCTGCTGGCCTCGTCCACCACCTCAGTAAGCGGCCGCGCCGCGCATATCCCAAGACCCCACGGCGACGCATCACACGCATAGGCCCTCGGTCCCCACGGCTTGGCAAGGTCGCACTCGAGCAGCGGAAGCAACGCCTGAGCCCAGCGGAGTTCTCTCAGTACCGCGGGCCACAGCTTCGAGGGGCTATCGGGGTTCTTCTCTATGAATACATACGCGGCACGAAAGCATGACAGCAACTCCCGACGAAGCATTGCCTGATGAGTGATATGTGCCAAGAGTTTCCGAAGCGTCCTACCAGAACATCGACGGCGCCTCAAGAGGAACTCCAAAGCCATCCACACCCTCCATCTCCTTTCATGTCGCGGTAAAATTCGACCATCCCCCGAGACGCTGAGCCCCAGTAGATCTCCCCCGACTCCGACTACATCGACCTCGTGAGCTTCCAGACCGGCACCCCGAACAGCCTCCAGGGATCGCTGGGTGAGATCACGACAAACATCGGGGGAGCTCGAGAAGACGCCCACGTTGTCCACATAGACCGACACACACCCATTTTTCAAATCACCAACTGGCCGATGATCCTGTAGAAGATGCGAGCTTGCAAATCCCTGGCTCAAAATCCTCTCGTGAATTGTCTGGCACCAATACAGCACGTGGACCCAACCCATCGGCATGACAGTAAGTCGAGGTCGCACAATCCCTCCAGTGCCCGGAATGTCGGACAGCAGCCGCTTCATCCACTTAGCCTTGATGGGGGGCAGATGGAAAAATCTCCGCAACTCGGGGGGTGTTCCAAACTGAAAGAAAGCATCCTTTAAATCGTACTGACCTACATGCAGCTGCTCTCCGGCCTCGAGCCTTAATCTGGATAAAGCGCCCGACGTGGGCAGCTCGGCATGGTCACTACTCGTGAAAAAAACAATTGGACTGCCGGCAATCGGCAATCAGGCGCCGGGCACCGCTCTTCTTGCGCACAGCAAAAAGTCCCACGCAAGCATCACCTTCCTCGCACACAAACTCAACCATGTTCCTGACATGCAGCATCTGAAGCACGCGTGCATATCGGCGCGCAGACCTGCGAAGACCAGGGTCATGATAAATCCTCATCTTGCTCGCTTCGAAACTGTGCATGCCTACCGAGTTTGGCAGCGCATGCTCGCACATCCACGCCTGGACTTCCTCGCGACCTGTGGGGCCCCAAAGCTGACATATATCAGTGGGGGCCGTCCCTGCCGGCCTAAGCGACAGCAGAGACTCGCCCAGGGGAGCTGCTGGCGAACTTTCACCAGAGTAGTCACGCCCACCGCTGATGCTCGAAAAAGCCTCGGCCGGCTGAGCATCGGCGGGGAGGATGCCCATCCTACTGCAACGTTCCCGGAGATGCCCCATGCTGCCCCCGTCCAGAGACGAAGCAGCACCCGCAGGACAGCACGGGGCACCACCCAGGTACATTTCTGTAAGGACGGAGGCGGCGTCGTGACTAAGCCGATTCAACCGTTGCTCGGACGAGACTGGAAGACTGCTCAGTCCAGGCGGCCGCCTATTCGCGCAGATCGAGGAATCTGACCTCGATGCTTTTACCCGATGCTTTAAGAGTGTCCGAGGCTCCGCCGACGAAGACAGCCGACTCGACTTTGCACCCGAATTACTCGCTCTCATGAGCGATGGATGGCCTGCATGCAGTGCTGGCCGCCGGATGAGGCCGTCTCCGACGGCCCCGCGTGTGCTCATTGCTCGTTGCCCCCACGGACTCGACCAACTCCGTCTGGGGGCTGACGAAGGAGGGCTCTTTCTTCTCGAGCTTGCCTGGCATGCTTCTGGGACTGCGACTTCTTCTCTAACTCCTCACTCACGTGCCCGATGCGCATCAGGGCGCAGCACACCGTGGGATTGACGGGCTGCCGCCCGATCAGGCCCATCTCGTCATTCGTGATGCCGGCCAACCCAGCGACGGAGGAAGAGGCGCCAGCAGATCTGCCGTGCTCTCCTCCACGAAACTTCTCTGCGTACTGGTACTCTATAGTCAGGAGCTGGCATGCGATCTCCCTAATTACCACTAGGTCTGACAGGTCGAGCTGATCCACATCTGTCGTCCACTGCTCGACCTGATTCTTCGCCACCTTCTCTATCAAGAACACGTGTAGCCCAGCGCAAGCGAGGCCGCGCTCCTCGGCTAACATCTCCAGCCGTCCTGGGCCCTCGTCATCGACCGAGACGACGGCGTGGGATTCCGAGAGCTGCCAGACCTCAGCTTCAGCCCCTGGCGGAGCCACTCCACGGCCAGCCAGTGTCACCAGACCCTGCGCCTCCGCTAGCAGCCCTCGCAGCACGGCCTGCTCAGGTCCAGCACCAACTCTGAAATTGTAAATGTGGGCACCCTGCTGGCTCGGTGGAATGCTGCCGTCTGCCTTGAGAGCCAGCACACCCGTGATGTCGCCATTGCTGCGGCCGTAGTCCTCTTCATACAGGTCCTGGCTGGGTGAATATATGATCCACCTTGTACTCTCGGCATGCGCGAGCATGGTGTGAACGTGCCAGAGGCCATCATCATGATGCACCATCGCCCCCGGGCCACCGACGATGACACCGCCGCCAGCCCCACCGCTCCGGCCAGCCTGGCTACTGCCACTAGCTGCACCATCGGTCTGGATGACCACCCGCCTGGAACTCCGACCGAGCAGCCACGACCACGGTGAGCTCCCACCGCGAAGGCCGATGCGACGAAGCCAACGTGCAGCACAAAGCTGAACTCGTAGCACGTCATGCCGCTCGTCGGGCCCGCCAGCTGCTGGGAGACCACACGCACGAAATGGGACACTCTCCACTTGCTTCGCCCGAGACGACGCAATAGCAGCACACGGCGATCACGCCTCCTCCTCCTCTGATCTCGAAGAGAGGTGGTACAATCCCGACTGAGACTACGTGTGAGTGTGTACGCAGCAGAGGCTCTACCTGCAAGTGTCTCCAGGGAACCCCCCTTTGAGCAATACACGCTGCAGAAACACCGGCTGACGCAAGACGTGCGCGCACTAGTATGATGATGATGATGATGATGATGATGATGATGATGATGATGATGGTGATGATGATGATGATGATGATGATGATGATGTTGATGATGATGAAGATGAGGAGGAGGAGGCGAGGAATCGGGAGAATGAAAAGGAGGAGGAGGGCGAATGAGGAGAGGAGACTGAGAAGAAGGAGGAGGGGGCATAAGCGGCATGAAGGAGGTAGGAAGGACGGAGCTGGGAAGGAGGAGGGGAGCAGGAGGACGACAAGGCGGAGGACGTGTAGAGCAGGCTGGGCAAAACGGGAGCAGGAGCAGGGCGGAGGGCGGCGGCAGGCGCCCCCGGCCGCGGGACCGCAGCAGTCCCCCAACGCCCGCGCCTCAGGTGAGCAGCCAGTCGGCCGCGGCCTCGCCGCCGCCGCCGTCGTCGCCACCGCCGCCGTCGTCGTCGACGTTCAGAGGCGACGATAGGGGCGAATAGCCCAGGGGAGAGCAATACATGTATCCAGGGGCGCCGATGATCTATGTCTTCGACAAGGCTCCGGGGCGAATGCGTGTAATGCCCGCCCCTGGGCTATTCGCGCCGATCGTCGCCGCCGAGACGTTGTTGCTTGGTCGTCTTGGCTCCCAGACGTCGGGCGTGTGGAAACAATCGAGACTGTTTTTTTTCGTAACCGTCGGATCGTTTTCGGCCTCTCGGGGCCCATATAAAAGGGCCTCGAGGCCGTCAGAGAGCGACTCGGGATGCAACAATCGTGCCCAGGAAGTGGGCGGGAGGTCGCGGGCTCGCGTCTCGCCAGAAGCGAGACTCCGGCTGTCTGGCTTGGCGTTCGCGTCTGACGAGTGATGGATGTTATCCCACCGGTGCGCCTGGGCCTTTTGCAACTGAAGTGCCCCCCCCCAGCGCTCGCACCCTAGGTTTTGTCAGGGAGTGGCAGCTTATTCAGGACGATCGCGCTCCCGCTCGAGACTCCGAGCTTACTCAAGAATGGGGCTCTCGCTCGGAACTTGTCCTGGATCTGCTCAGGGTTCGCCCTCTCGCCTAGGAGTCGCGCTCTCGCCTCAGGCCTCCTTGCAATTTCCCGACGGATCGCGGTTGAGTGCCCCGCCCGCCCAGCGTGCCCGATGGGTCCCGTACTCCCCCCACACGCTCGAGATAGTCGTCGGGGCCCACCAGAGGGGGGGGGGACCCTGAGGGGGGGGGGTGAGTTCGATCCGCTGGTGCATCGAATTTACGAAAAACGATGCCCCCCGCGCGCCCCGATTGTCGACGCCTCTCGGGTTCCGGCGGCAGCCGGAGACCTCGTTCTGCATTGTTTTTCTGCGGCTCGATGCGCCAACGGACCGAACTCACCCCTCCCCTGTGGCACCCCCGCCCGTTATGTTTCCGTGATTGAAGTGGTTCGTGTCTGTGTGTGCGAGTGTGCGTGTGTGCGTGCATGTGTCTCTGTGTGTGTGCGTGCATGTGTGTGTGTGTGAGCGTGGGTGTGTGTGTGTGTGTGTGCGTGGGTGTGTGTGTGTGTGTCTCTCTGTGTGTACGTGTGCGTGCATGTGTGTGTGTTGTGTGTGTTGTGTGAGTGAGAATGTGTGTGTGTGTGTGTCTGCGTGTGCGTGGGTGTGTGGCGTGTGCGTGCGTGTGCGCGTGTGTGCGTGTGCGTGTGCGTGTGCGTGTGCGTGTGCGTGTGCGTGTGCGTGTGTGCGCGTGTGCGCGTGTGCGCGTGTGCGCGTGTGCGCGTGTGCGCGTGTGCCTGTGTGCGCGTGTGCGTGTGTGCGTGTGTGCGTGTGTACGTGTGTGCGTGTGTGCGTGTGTGCGTGTGCGCGTGTGTGCGTGTGTGCGTGTGTGCGTGTGTGTGTGTGTGTGTGTCTCTGCGTGTGTGTGTGTGTGCCTGGTCATCGTTGGGTCTCAGTTCTTGGTCCAGTCCTCATCTCCTCCCAGGCTTCCTCCTCCTCCGGCACTTCTCCTCCGCCTCTTCCTCCTCGTCCACCTCCAGCATCCTCTTCCGCCCGGCGGCGACGGTAATGGGTTGTCAGGCCCGTATCGGCAATCCATTAGCGATCGGGGGCCGACGCTTCTTCCCCTGAGCCCGAGTCCCCCCTAACGTTCTGTTTCATCCTCAAGGGACCTTGTCTGTCCCCTCTCGGCCCTATCCGCGTCGAATCGGTGTCGAATCCATGTCGGACTCGTCGGATCCGTGTCGGATCCGTGTCGAGTCCGCGTCGAAGCCACACAAAGTCCGCGTCGAGTCCGCGTCGGGCACAAGAAAAGACCACCTTTCGGGACAGGCAACGCCCCCCGAAGATGCAACGTAACCAGCGATGCCCCTGAAGAAAAGAGCCAGCAATGGACTCACCGAAACAGCTCGGAAAGCCCCCTCCCGCCCCTGGCCCACAGCGGCAGGTCGCAGCGCGCCGCGGCGCCCCGCTGCCGCGGCGGCCACGGCGGCCGATGGACCGGCGACGGACCGACCGACCAGATCGACGGCCCGACCCCAAGGCGGCGCGAGGCGGCCCTTGGCGACTGGCCTCGGCGACCAACCGACCGACCAGACTGGCTGACCTCGGCGACTGGCCTCGGCGACCGACCGACCGACCGGACTGACGACCGGCCTCGGCGACCGACCGACCGACGAGACCGACGACCGACCTTGGCGACGCGAGGGGGCAGCCAGCACAGAATCAGAAACACCATGCCTTCGGGCAGAGACAAGATAATGGCACACGCCGACGGGCTCTGAACGGCTGCGTGTCGTTGATACTCTTTGTCCTAGCCCTCCTGTGTGCTGGGATCTCGTATGGAATAAAGCACTGTGGTCACCGCGGAATGGAGGTGTACGCGGACTCAGCCGAGCCCTCGTGGCTCCCGGGGGGGCTGCGAAGTACGCATCAGTCGCCACTTGCGTGGGTTCGTTGGAGGTCCAGCGGAGTGGGAGTGTACGAGGACCCAGCCGAGACCTCGCGGCTCCCTGGGATGCTGCGAAGTGCGCACCCGTCGCAGCTTCCGTGGGCTCCCGGGAGGTCCAGCGGAGTGGGGGTGTGCGCTCCCTGGTGGGCTGCAAAGTGCGCACCTGTCGCTGCGTTCGTTGGCTCCTGCGAGATCCTGCGGAGTGGAAGTGTACGCGGACCCAGCCGGGACCTCGTGGCTCCCTAAGGAGGGCTGCGAAGTGCGCCACGGCCGCCACTTTCGTGTGCTCCCTGGGGGCACGGCGGCGTGGGGGGAAAGCGCAGATCCAGCCGAGACCTCGCGGCTCCCTGGCGGGGGGTGCGAAACGGCACCCTGAAGGTGCGAAACGCGCAGCTGTTGCCACTTCCGTGGGCTCCTGGGAAACACAAAAGAATGGGGGGTGTACGCGGACCCAGCAGAGACCTCGCAGCTCTATAGGGGGGTGCGAAGTGCACAACTGTCACCACGTTTGTGAGTCTGGGAGTCCAGCGGGGAGGAAGTGTACGTGGACCCACACGAGACCTCGCGGCTCCCTGGGGGGGCCGTGACGTGCGCAACTGTGACCACATTCGTGCGCTCCTGGGAAGCACGGCGGTGTGGGGGGATACGCAGACCCAGCCGTGACCTCGCGGCTCCCTAGGGGGGCTGCGAAGTGCGCACCTGCCGCTGCGTTCGCTGGCTCCTGGGAAGCACTGCTGCGTGGGGGGGTACGCAGACCCAGCCGAGACCTGGCGGCTCCCTGGAGGTCTGCGAAGTGCGCATCTGGCGCCACTGTCGTGGGCTCCTGGGAAGCGCAGAGGAGTGGGGGAGTGCGCAGACCCAGCCGGGACCTCGTGGCTCCCTGAGGGGCCGCGAAGTGCGCAACCGTCGCCACTCCTGGGAGGCACGGCGGAGTGGGGGAGTACGCAGACCCAGCCAAGAGCTCGCGGCTTTCTGGGTGGCCGCGAAGTGCGCAACCGTCGCCACTTTCGTTGGCTCCTGGGAGGCACGGCGGAGTGGAGGTGTACGCGAACCCAGCCGAGGGCAAAACGGCCGCCGCTTTCGTGATCTCCTGGCAGGCCCAGCGGAGTGCGGGAGTACGCAGATCCAGCTGTCGCCACTTTCGTGGGCTCCTGGAAGGCCCTGCGGGAGTGCGGGAAGGCGGACTGTGCAACCGTCGCCCCTTGCGGCTCCTGGGAGTCCACGGAGGCGGGTTGTCCTCCCAACATGTCTTCTCTACGGAGCGTCCATACAGTCAACCCGTAGACGAAGGACGCATGACAAGAATGCAAAGGGCTTGGATGGCCATGTCGACACTTTGCGAGCGGGGCGCGGCCAGCGAAAGCGGCCAAGGATGGGCCGAAGGGGGAGGATGCAAGGGCAACTGTGGAAAGTCGCTCATCCTTACTACTATGCGGGCTGACTGTACACATAGTCGACTCGCGTGGAGAAGGGACTGGGTACGTCTCGGGGAATGCCCTCCCGAGGCGAGGGGGGCGCCACTCGGATGCACCCAACTCTGCAAAAAAGAACCGCATCAAAACATTATTGGAGCCCCGCGCTTCCCTCCGCAAGTCCTCCACCAACTTCCGCGGGCGGAGCCGCCACCCTGTCATTTCCAACCATCCTTTTTGTGTCGGGTCCTCGTTTTGAGGAGACAGTCCCCTCACCCGCCCTCTCCTCTCCTCTCCTTCGCCTCCCTTCCTCCTCCCCATCCTCCCTCCTCCCGTCATCCATATGTTTGGGTCTTTCGCCAGGGTCATGTTTGGGACAGCGCTCTCAAGACGGACGCTTGGGACACCTACCGAGATCGGCGCACACAAGCACACACACACACACACGCACGCACGCACGCACGCACACACGCACACACAACACAACCACACGCACACACACAGCACACAACACACAGCACACAGCACACACCGCACACCACACACCAAACACAACACACCAAACCACCACACACACCACACACCACACACACCATACACACCACACACACACCACACACACACGCACACGCACGCACGCACGCACGCACACACACACACACGCACACACACAATCGCACGCACGCACGGACGCACGCACGCACGCGCACGCACACGCACACGCACACTCACATTCACACTCACACGTACACGAACACGCGCACGCACACCACACACACACCACACACACATCAGACACCAGACGCCACACACCACACACAGCACACCACACACCACACACACACACACTCACGCACGCACGCACGCACACCCACCCATCCACCCACGCACGCACACGCACGCACGCGATCACACACGCACACGCACACACACTGTGAAGTCAGCGGCGCAGACGGTCCTCAGGCGCGGTCGGCAAATGGAAACACACAGACCCCCACACACACACACACGCACACACGCACCACACAAACACACATACAAACGCACATGCACACACGCACACACACACACACACACGCACACACACACGCACACACACACACACGCACACACACACGCACCCATGCACACACCCGTACACACGCAACCACACACATACACACACGAACAGACACACACGCAAACACACAACCACAACACACACACACTCAAACATGCACGCACACACACACACGCACGCACGCACACGCGCACACGCACACACACACACGCCACACACCCACGCACACGCAAACACACACACACACCGCATACGCAACACACAACACCCACATACACCACACAACACACGCAACACGCAACACACAACACACAACACACAACACACAACACACACAGCACGCACGCAACACGCACACCACACACACAACACACACAACACACACAGGCACGCGCACGCGCACGCACACGCACACGCACACGCAAACGCACGCGCACACACCGACACACACAAGCACACACGCACACACACAAGCCACACAACACACGCACCACACACACCATACAACGCATACCACACACCACACACCACACACATGCACACGCACACACACAAGCACACGCGGACGCAGACGCACACGCACACACCGACACACACACACGCAAACACACACAAACGCACACGCACACACAACGCACACCACGCACAGCACACAACACACAACACACAAAACGCAACACACAACACGCACACAGAAACCACACACAACACACAACACAACCAACACACACAGCACACACAGACACACGACGCACACAAGGCACAATACACAAGACACAACACACAACACACACACACCACACACAACACACACCAAACACCCCACACAACACACACCAAACAAGTACAACAACACACACACACAACACACAGCACAGCACAACACAACACAACACAACACAGCACAGCACAACACAACACAACACAACACAATTGCATTTGCGGGGCGTAGAACGTCGAACCCGAGCGGCGGAACGCGCGCGTCTACTCCTGGCCGAGCTCTCAAGGACCACTCAAGGCCTCGACACACACACACACACGACGCGCATACGTACACATATTGTTAAATATGCAGATACACCTTTTTCGTCGGCGGCAAGGCGGCGAAATCCGCTCCTGCGAGAAGCTAGAAAAGGGGCACTAACTAGCGAAGTGGCTGGGGTGGCTGGGTGGCAAAGAAAGGGGGGGAGGGCAAAGAGGAAGAAGGGACGCTCAGATGCCGAAGAGTTCGACGATGAGCAGCCGGGGGGGGCAGCAGCAGCCAGGCGCGCAGGGCCAGAGCGCGGTGGGCGGCCGTGGCGAACCACGGCGGCAAGGGTGGCGGGAGGGCGGCTGCCAGCAACTGGAGCTGACGGGCGGGCGCAGTGAGACACCGAACGGCAGAGGTACCGCGGCGCGCCGAGGAGTAGGCACAGCACTGAGCGGTGCGGAAGCGGGCGCATGGCAGGGGCAGTGAGAGGGGTATTGCGGCGGCCCGCGGCGCACCAGGTGGCCAGGGGGCCGGGAGAGGTGGGGCAAGAGGCGGCGGGCGAATCGTCCCAGGCGCCCGCAGGCGGCGGGGCGGAACGGCAACGCAACGGGAGGAGGAAGCGCGGGCTGCAGGAAGAAGGTGGCAACGCCGCCAGAAGGCTGGCAATGACAGGGGTATTGCGGCGTGACCGCCTGGGGCGCGCCAGGTGGCCAGGGGGCCGGGAGAGGTGGGGCAGGAGGCGGCGGGCGAAGCGTCCCAGGCGCCCGCAGGCGGCAGGGCGGAACAGCAACGCAACCGGAGGAGGCAGCACGGGGCTGCCGCGGAAGGAGGGGAGCGCCGAAGGGTGCAGAAGCCGAGTAGCAACGCAGGGCGGCCCAGTGGGCGGTCCAGCGTGGTGCAGCAGAGAAGCGCCGAAATGGTGCAGGGGACAGTGAGTGAGCGACGCGCGTCCCAAACGGGAGGTACGTCGCGACGGGGCAGCGGCTGGGAGCACCGAAAGATGCAGAAACCAGGTAAACAGAAAAGCACCGAAGTGGTGCAGGGGACGGTGGGGTGAGCGACGCGCGTCCCACACGGGAGGTCCGTCGCAAGGTGGAGAGGTCAGGGAGGGCACGGAGGAGGTGCCAAGCCAGGTGCGGAGAGGCGCCCAGCCCAAAGGGCCACACGCCTCATGGAGAGCGGACAAGGGGGAGGGATGAAGGACCAGGAACAGGGAGGCGAGAGGACCGCTGGTTGGGCGGGCGGGCGCGTCGGCCGGCAGGGCGGGCAGCGACGGGCAGGCAACCGCCAAGTGGGCGGGGGGGGGGCAGCGGTCGTGACGACCGCGAGGGCAGAGAGGCACCTGGGCGGTGGGCCAGCAGGGCAGGACGCCACGAGCGGGAGGCTCGCCACGCCGGGGGGTGGGCGCCTGGGGGGGGGCGGCGGGGATCCGCTGGTTGGGCGGTGGGGCGGCCGCGCTGTCCGCTGGCCCGCGCGGACGGGCCCCCCTGGGGCGGCGGCGTGTGGGTGGCTCACACTGGCTCATGCGGGTGAAGGAAGCGGCGCGGCGGAGGAAGGTGGCATCGTGCCAGCAGGGGTCGCGGGTGCCACCGCCACGCCGAGCACAGAACCTATGCCAGGCCGCCCCAGCTCCACCACCAGCCTGCAGCGTCCTCCTGACCCGGGCCACGAGGGTCTCCTTCGAGCCGAGGAAGTCGAGCAGGACGGGGGTCGGGCCATCCTCGGGACGCGCCCGCCCCTAGCCCTCTTCCTATCGTCCGAGGTGAAACGAGTCCGAGTGGACAACGCACACACGAAGATACGCAGATATACACCTATTCGCAGACATAGGCAGATGCATGGCCCCGAAACGGGAGCGGCGAACCGACGTGCTTCCACTGGCCTCCGCGGCATGCCAGAGGCGCCGAGGGCACGGCCCCGCTCTGGAACACGCGCCACGCCGAGGCAGCGGGGGCTTCCCCAGAAGGGCTCGGGGGCGGCTCGGAAGGCCACTCATGCAACTGCAGGAGGCCGCCGCCGCGGTCGCCTCCGTCGTCGTCGTCCTCGTCCTCGTCCTCGTGGTCGTCGTCGTCGTCGTCGTCGTCGTCGTCGCCGTCGCTGCCGCCGCCGCCGCCGCCGCCGCCGTCGCCGCCGCCGCCGCCGCCGTTTCGTCGTCGTCGTCGTCGTCGTCGTCGTCGTCGTCGTCGTCGTCGTCGTCGTCGTCGTCATTGTCATTGTCGTCGTCGTCGTCGTCGTCGTCGTCGTCGTCGGGAAGGCTTCTGAGGACGGCAGGGGGGCACATTGGACGAGAACCGTCCCGCACCGCTCCCCTCTGCGCCCCGGCCGCCGGCGACAACGACGGAACGATGACCGACCGGCGCCTCGATGTCGCCGCCGGTCGCGACGAGTGCGTCCCTCGCCTGGACGGGGCCGCCGACGCCACAGAACGGCAACAGCCCGCTCGTCTGAATCTGCGTCGTCGCCGCCGCGTCCGCCGCCGCCACCTTCGCCGTCACCGTCGCCGCCGCCGCCGCCGCTGCCGCCGCCACCTTCGCCGTCACCGTCGCCGCCGCCGCCGCCGCTGCCGCCGCCGCCGCCGTCGTCGCCGTCGTCGTCGTCGTCGTCGTCGTCGTCGTCGTCGTCGTCGTCGTCGTCGTCGTCATCGTCGTCGTCGTTGTCGTCGTCGTCGTCGTCGTCGCCGGCGCCAGCGCCGGCGCCGGCGCCGGAGAATCCAGGATCGGTGTCGGTGGACGTCGTCTGCCCCCAAGGGGGCGTCTTTGGTGCCACGGCTCGGCTTCCCTCGAAATTCTTACCAGAGAGCACCCCAGGAGAGATCCAGAGGTCAGTCGTCGGTCGTCTCTCGTCGTCGTCGTCGTCGTCGTCGTCGTCAGTCATCGTCTGTCGACGGTTGCCGTCTTCGCCACGTCGCGGTAATAGTCGTAGTCGTTCGTCGGTCGTCCGTCGTCGTCCTCGGGGTGGCCTATGGATGAGCTATGACGGCCTAACTGTTCTTCGTGATTGTGAGGCAGTAGCGATTCGACGGGTTCCGCCTCCCCCACCGCCTGCACCACCCTGTGCCCCTCCTGCTTCTCTTCCTCCATCTCATATCTGCTTCAGCGCCGCCTCTGGTGCGCTCCGCGCGCCAGGGAAGGAGGTGGTTCAGAGCTGGCGCAAGAATAAAGGGGCCCACGAACACATAAATAAATACACACAAATCTCAGGATTCCCATATCTTCATATTTTCTGGATTTCTCTCTTCCCCTCCACTTCCCATATGTTTGGATGTTTTCCTGTCAATCGACGACTAATTGCGTCTGTGTGTTTTTTCCCTACCTAGGCTCTGCCTAGAAGGGTTCTTACCCTAGAGCGTAAAGGGGCCGGGCAGTGGACCCCGCCCCGGGCGGTTCCCCCGGCATCCGCCCCGCGGTTCCCCCAGTTACGTCCCCTGGGTTCACCCAGCATAGCGCAGCGCAGCATTAGCACAGCATATCATAGCATCGCATAGCCAATCATAGCATAGCGTAACGTAGCTCAGCATAGCATACCATAGCGCAGTATATGATTTCATAGCATAGCATAACACAAGATATCATAGCATAGCCTATCATAGCATAACATAGCGCCGCATAGCATAGCAACGCGCAATATAGCATAACATAGCATAGCATAGCGCAGCACAGCATAGCCTAGCATAACATAGCGCAGCCGAGCGTACCCTACCATAGCATAGCATAGCATAGCTTCACCTAGGGGCTCCAACTCCTAAGTAGGGTCGCACTGGGATAATTTCCCTCCTGAAAGAATTCCGCGCCAACCTCTGAAAGTTGATGCTCGTGTATGTAGTGTTTGCTCCTCGGCGAGTGCAGCCAACCTTCTTCACTGGCGTTCCCACCCTTGCGCAAGCGGGTTGCCCGCCGGGCAGAGGGAGCGCAAGGCAATCGCTCCTCGCCTGCGTCGGAGGCTCGTGCCCACGCTCGCCCCGCCCCCGCGTTAGAAAACAACCATCACCTCGTCGTCGTGGTCGTCGTCGTCGTCGTCGTCGTCGTTATCGTAGTCGTCGGTGTCGTCGTCGTCGTGGACGTCGACGTCGACGTCGTCGTCGTCGTCGTCGTCGTCGTCGTGAACGTCGCCGTCCTCGTCGGTGTCGGCGCCGCCGCCGCCGTCTTGGCACGAAGGGCACGGGTCCTGCGGAAAACAGGTCCTGGATCCCGAGACTCTTCCCCAGGACCAGCTCTTCATCCTGGGCCCTTGTTTAGACTGTCCTGGGGCCCGTGGAGCGCCCAGGGAGGCCCATAAACGGCCGGAAACCTAGGCTGTTTGCTCCATGACTTCCGTCGTTGTCGTCGTCGCCGCCGCTGATGCCGCCGCCGCCGTCGTCGCCGCAGCCGTCGTCGTCGTCGTCGTCGTCGTCGTCGTCGTCGTCGTCGCCGTCGTCGTCGTCGTCGTCGTCGTCGTCGTCGTCGTCGTCGTCGTGGTCGACGTCGTCGTCGGCGTCGTCGACGTCGTCGCCGGCGTCGTCGTCGTCGTCGTCATCGTCGTCGTCGCCGCCCGCCGCCGGCGCCGCTGGCGCGCCGTCTGGCAGGGAGTCCGGCAACCCGCGGCCGAGGGGCGTGCTGGTTGTCGCGGGCGTGCGGGGCGGGAGCGGCGGTTGGGCGTCGCTCAATGGGGGGCGAAGCATGGGGGGGAGACAGGTGTACTTTTCGGGCCCTGAAGGCTCCCTCTTGGGCCCTACAGGGCCCACTAGGGGTCCTAAACGGCCCCATTTCTGCAGCCCTCGCTGCCCCCCTGTTCATCGCCCCCCCATTACCCGACGACCGAGGCGGCGGGGGGGCGGGGGCGGCCCACCCTCGCTGGCAGGAAGCCCATGGCCGCGAGCTGCGCCACCTCGCGCCCGCGGCTGCCGACTCTGCCCCTCCTCTTGAGACGAAGGCGGGATAAGGATCACGTCGGATGAGCAGAAATCGGGGAACTCTGAGAATCGACGGGCCCAAATGATGTACCTGGCGCCGCGGCCGCTTCAGATCGATACGAGACGCTCTGAGAGCGCTCCGGAACGCTCTGGAGCGGTTTGTCCTCATTCAAGACCTGCCGGAGCTCGACCCAATAAAGGGCTAAGACAATCATTCCACACGAGGAAAGCATGTCGATGCATGGCGGTCGTCCATGCCGCAAATGTAATATTTTCTGGGGTCTTCTAAATTATTAGTCGCCCAGGCTTAAGCGAACACGGGCGGCAACATATGACTGCGTCATCCCGTTCCTGTTCCTGCTCCTTCTCTTCCTGCTGCTGCTCTCCCTACCCCTGCTCCTCGATAGTCGTCTTTGTTCTCCCCATCCTTCTCCCAATGTCCCTCCTCCTCCTCCTCCTCCTCCTCTTCTTCCTCCTCCTCCTCCTCCCTACGTGCCATCTGCCTTCCTACCCCCTCCTTGTCCCCCTAAGACCTCTTCTCGTCTCCAAAGAACTCTGCCTGTCACCTCGAAAAGCCTTCCGCTGCATCAGCAACTCGTTCGAACCTCCAGCAGCATCCTGGGACCATGAACTTCCAACCTCGCTCCGCTCCTCCCTAACCCTCCCATCCTCTCCTTCTTCTTTATTTGTCTTCTTCGTTTTCTGCCTCTTCCTCCTCCGCTCAATCCTTCCAATCCTGCTGCTCCTGCTGCCCCCCCCCCCAAGTTGTTTACCCCCTCCGAATCCCTACGCTCAGCGGCGAGCGAGGGGGGGAAGTGAGAAGGAGAAGGTTAGGAAGCCCCCGGCCTTCTCGGAAGATGTGTTAAGCCTTCCCCGGAGACAAACAGATTCCTCAGAAGGCGCGAGGGCTTCCGAGAAGTCCCGCCGCCTTCTGAGCAGGCCTTCTCCTTCTCACTTCCCCCGCTCGCTCGCCGCTGATACGCGTTCTACGTACTCATCCTCTATGCTGCTGTTAAGTCGGTCCTGTCCTCCTATAGAGGGATTTTGGACGAAAAATTAAAAATAGTCACAAATACAGCAAAATGGTCAAACAAACAAAAAAGAAGTCCCCAGACAACTTGACCATTCTATGTTTGGATTCTTTCTGGACTATTTTTGCATATTCCTCCTGTAGAGGGACAGGCTCGACTTGAATGCTACTGCTGCTGCTCACTCTCGGCGGCGAGAGGGGCGGGCCTTCTCAGAAGGCCCGGCCGGCCGCGGGCCCTCCGAGAGAACTCGTATCTAAGCCATCCCCGAGGACGCAGGACACTTCTCGAGGGCGCGAAGGCCTCCGAGAAGGCCCGCTGCTCTCTGAGGAGGCGCCTTCTCCCTCTCACTTTTCCCCCCCTCGCTCGCCGCCGCATGGTGGCGGCGACGACGAGGGCGGGGACAACGAAGATCGTGGAGACGACGACGGCGACGACGACGACGACGACGACGACGGCGACGGCGACGGCGACGGCGACGGCGACGGCGACGATGACGACGAGGAGGCGGCGGCGACGACAACGACGACGACGACGACCACGACGACGACGACAACCGGATCTGCCTGGCCAGGATCTCGGAGGGAGCCCACCCGTGGCGACGAGGGCGCCGAAACGGAGGGACCGGGAGCGGCCGAAGACGCCCCTCGAGGGGGGGTGGGTGGAGGACCCTGGAGCACCTCGATATCCGGAGGCTCCTCGAGCCTCGATGCTCTATCGTCCTTCCTCCTGCTCGTGGTCCTTCCCCCTCCTCCTCCGCCATCTCCTCCTCCTCCTCCCCCTCCCCCTCCTCCTCCTCCTCCTCCTCCTCCTCCTGCGTCTCCTCCTGCGTCTCCTCCTCCTCCTCCTCCTCCTCCTCCTCCTCCTCCTCCTCCTCCTCCTCCTCCCCCTCCTCGAAGCATCTGGGAGCACCTCGATCTAGAGGTCCCTCGATCCTCGAGCGGCGGCGGCGGCGGCCCTGGACAGCCGACGACACGATTTTTGCCGGTGCGCGGCCCCAAGAAGGTCCCCGGCCTCTGCCCCAAGGCCACCCCTTCGCCCCGAGCCCACTCCTGATGGCCCCGGCGGGTCCCAGGATGCCGGGATCGAAGGAGACTGGGGGAACAAGAAGGCACCGATACTGCGACTCCCCAGACCTCACCCAGGGTGCGCTCTGCACAGACGACAAGGACCTCCTTGTGGGTTCCCCTTCCTCCTCCGGGAGACCGCCCGCGCTGCACAGGTCCGCTCGTCGAGATCTGGGACGGCGGGCCGCGGTGGCGGCAACGGCGGCGGCGGCCACGGCCCGCCGCGTCGGCGGAGACGGCCGAGGCCACGGCGCCGTCGGCGTGCCCAGGGGGCGGCCCGGTCGGGGGAGGGCCCGGCCGGCCGCGGGGGTCCTCGGGGCGGGCGGGGGCTGTCCACCCAGACCCCCTCGAGCTGTGCAAAGATCACGACGGGAGGCTTGTCGCTACCTTCGGCCTCTGGGGGCCCTTCCTGGCCCTCGGGACCGCGAAGCAGCGACTCGGGATGAAGAACCGGTCCTGGGGAATGGGTCGAGACCTCTGGGGGTCGACGCCATGGAAAATCACGACGTCGGGGTTCTGGGCGGGGGGAGGGCATTGAGCATTGAGCATTGAGCAACGACTTGCAGAATGGGCGCTCGGGGCGGAGCCCGCCGTGACGACGAGAAGCCTGGGGGGAGGAGGAGGAGGAGGAGGAGGAGGAGGAGGAGGAAGGAGAGGAGGAGGGAGGAGGAGGAGGAGGAGGAGGAGGAGGAGGAGGAGGAGGAGGGAGGAGGAGGAGGAGGAGGAAGAGGAGGAAGGAGGAGGGGAGGAGGAGGAGGAGGAGGAGAGAGGGAGGGGGGAGGAAGAGAGGGGAGGAGGAGGAGAGGAGGAGGAGGAGGAGGAGGACGAGGAGGGAGGAGGAGGAGGAGGAGGAGGGGGGGAGGAGGAGGAGGAGAGGTAGGGAGGAGGAGGAGGAGGAGGAGGAGGAGGAGGAGAGGAGGAGGAGGAGAGGAGGACGACGAGGAGGCGGAGGAGGAGGGGAGGAGGATGAGGAGGGGGGGGAGGAGGAGACGAGAGAGGAGGAGAGGGGAGGAGGAGGAGGAGGAGGAGGAGGAGGAGGAGGAGGAAGGAGGAGGAGGAGGGGAGGAGGAGGAGGAGGAGGGGAGGAGGAGGAGGAGGAGGACAGGGAGGGGGAGGAGGAGGGAGGAGGAGGAGGAGGAGGACGGGGGAAGAGGACGGAGGAGGAGGAGGAGGAGGAGAGGGGAGGAGGAGGAGGAGGATGCGGAGGAGGAGGGTGAGGAGGAGGAGGAGGAGGAGGAGGAGGAGGAGGAGGAGGAGGAGGAGGAGGAGGGGAGGAGGATGAGGAGGAGGAGGAGGAGGAGAGGAGGAGGGAGGAGGAGGAGGGGGGGAGGAGGGGGAGGAGGAGGAGGGAGGAGGAGGAGGAGGAGGAGGCGGAGGAGGAGGAGGAGGAGGAGGAGGAGGAGGGGAGGAGGAGGAGGAGGAGAGAGGGAGGGAAGGCAGGAGGAGGAGGAGGAGGAGGAGGGGAGGAGGAGGAGAGGAGGAGGAGGAGGAGGAGGAGGAGGGGGAGGAGGAGAGGGAGGAGGAGAGGGAGGAGGAGAGGGAGAAGGAGGAGGAGGAGGAGGTGCCTCACTGCGTTGAACATTCCTCACGAACATGAGGCCCTCCGCCAGCCCGAACTGCAGAACGTTCGAAGTACATCGGCGTTCCCCGTGCCCCCGATTGGTGTGCCCCCGTCGGACCTGGGACGGAAGAACATCCTGCAAGACCACGAGAGACTCAGCCCGCCAAAACACCCCAAACCTGAAGATCATTGGAGGGTACCCTCCCGCAAGGTGCACAAGAACATCCAACAAACACGAATAGAACAACAACAGACGCCATAAACATAAACTTCTTGCGCTCCGCGCGGATTTCTTGGATCTGCGCTGGGCCCCCCTCCCAGGCGCGCGGAGCGCGCCAGGGGCGGCGCCGGAAGCGCCGCCGGGGACCCTTATCGACGAGATCCGCGATGGTTTCTTCTTCGAGCGAAGAACATTAGGGTGCCCTCTCCGAGCCGACCTCGATCTTATACCTCGGCCCGACCGTACTCTCCCCCGTCGCCTCGTCGCTCGTTCCCCCCTCGGCGCTCGTGTCCTCGTCGCCGCCGTCGACGCCCGAGTGTGACTCCCAAGGCTGAAATATTTGGGCCAGTTCTTGGCCTCTCCAAGGAAGAATGAGGAGGAGGCGATCGAGGAGGAGGAGGAGGAGGAGGAGGAGGGAGGTGGGATGATGATGATGATGATGATGATGATGATGATGATGATGATGATGATGATGATGATGATGATGATGATGATGATGATGTTGATGATGATGATGAGGAGGAGGAGGAGGAGGACGTTGCAACAAAAATGCAACATCGCAGAAAATCACGCTCAGAGCCCTGGACTGCATCTGTCTGCGTCATTTCTCGAGCCGCATCGATCTGCGAGGGTCCCGGGGCCCGAAATGGAGCGAAGGCCCCCGTTGTGACAACAATGCTACGCCGGGATCTCAGGGGAGTGGAGGAGGCGAGGAGGGAGGGGGTCAGAGGTGCCCCTGACACCATGGATGCGAGGACATGGCCGATGTCGCGCTCTTCGGTGCCCGGACAAAAAGTGTCCACACCCAGGGCGGCAAGACACTGCGACGTGATAACAACCGCAACAGCATGACGCACTCGACTTGCACCCCTCCCCCCCAAAACCCAAAGTTGAAGTGTCCACATTTTGTCCCTGGCACGCGGCCTGCCGCCTAACCCCGACAACTTTTGAGTTGGGGGAAAGGGGGGTATACATATTCGTTCGACGTGATTTGACGACGAGTTGTCTTGGCGCGACAAGTGTGGACACTTTTTGTCCGCCCACCGTGGTTCTTATGCTCTTGATTGGTGCTACAATACGGCGAGGGCATTGGATAAGGAATCCTTGGATAAGGAATCCAGGGTCTCGAAGCCAGTGGACCTCCAATTGTGGATCGGCCATGGACATCGCCACCGCCCTCATCGGATAAGGAATCCTCCAGGGCCTGATGCCTCCTGGGCGCATTCCTTAACCAACGCCCGCACCGTAAATCTGAGTGCGTCTCGCGCGAAAGCCCGAGCACGGACAGAGGGGGGAGGAGAGGTGCGGAGGACGGCGGATGTTGATGATGTCGGTGATGTTGGCGATGTCGATGATGTTGGTGATGATGATGATGATGTCGACGATGTTGATGTTGATGATGTTAAAGATGTTGATGGTGGTGTCGATGTTGACGATTATGATGTTGATGATGTCGGTGATGTTGGCGATGCCGATGATGTTGGTGATGTTGATGATGTCGACGATGTTGATGTTGATGATGTTGATGTTGTTGATGTTGGTGGTGGAGGCTGGCACCGCTGGATAGAACTGCATAGAACTGATAGAACTGGTCATAGAACTGGCCATAGAACTGGCCCGTGAAAAATAGGGTCTGGCCTAGAACTGGTCGGTCCAATTAAAGAAAAATTGAGAATATCAATAATTATCCTTCTAAATGCGACCAGTTCTAGGCCGGACCCTATTTTTTCATGGGCCAGTTCTATGACCAGTTCTATGACCAGTTCTACCCAGTTATACCAGTTCCGCGCCGTCGGAGGCGACCGCGGGGGAGCCCAGCGTCGGCCTCGTGATTTGAGCCAGACGGTGGCGGGCCCCCAGACCCTGTCTCGAAGTGGCCATGTAGGTTGTCCCGTGGCTGTCCCGTGGGTAGTCCCACGGTTGTCCCAAGGTCTGCCCCGTTTGTTGTCCCGTGGTGGTCCCGCGGGTTGTCCCATGGGTTGTCCCGCGGTGGTCCTGCGGGTGTCCCGTGGTTCCGTATACGCGCACATCGTCATCTAATTGCGTGTCGTGCTGGACGCATAAGCACGCACCAACACACACTTAAATGCACGCACGCATGTAAGCAAGATGGCACCATGAAACCACCAAACACATCTAACCCGGACGGTGCCCGGACAAAAAGTGTCCACACCCAGGGCGGCAAGACACTGCGACGTGTTAACAACCGCAACAGCATGACGCACTCGACTCGCACCCCTCCCCCCCAAAACCCAAAGTTGAAGTGTCCACATTTTGTCCCTGGCGCGCGGCCTGCCGCCTAACCTTGCCAACTTTGAGTTGGGGGGAAGGGGGCTATACATATTCGTTCGACGTGATTTGACGACGAGTTGTCTTGGCGCGACAAGTGTGGACACTTTTTGTCCGCCCACCGTTCCTTCCGAGCAAACGCAGGCCTCCGACGACGTGAGCTACTCTATCCGTCGGCGATGGCGCCACAGAGCTCTTTCGACCACTTCCCTGATTGCTACACTGGTATGGTGTATCATGATGTCTCCCCTCCTAACTCGGGTGTTGCTCGAAGTACCTCTGGTCCAAGGTACCCCCAGGATTCTCGGGGTGGCCCAGACGGCCTCCAGGACACCCCTCGCGAGGCCCAGGGGGGCCCCGGGGGCTCCAAAATGGAGCGAAAAGCTGGGGGCACCTTGGGCCAGGGGCACTTCTAGCAACACCCGACGAACCTTCCCCTAGAGTCGCGCCACATCGCCGGACCAAATCTGACGACCTCCCTTCTGGGAGTCAGCAGTATGCTGAAACGTATGGGACATCGACGAAATCTGCCTCTTGGGCTTCTGGGGGACGCAAGAAGATCTCAAGGCGGCTGAAAACGCTCCAGGACGGGCCAAGACGGCCCCAAGACGGCCCAAGATGGCCCCAAGAAGGGCCAAGAGGCCCCCAAGACGGCCCAAGAGGGCCCCAAGGGTGCCCCCTAGAGCGCCTCCAGAGGCCAAAAACATTGATGTTCTTTTGATGTTCGGTGCGTTTGAGCTTTCTGCTGGTTCTTGACCCGCGAGGGGCCATGACGGCCTAAGGAGCCTCTAAAATTGCCCCAACACGGCCCAAGAGGCCCCCGAGAGGGCCCCGAGACGGCCTCAGAGGGCCCCACGATTGCCCAGAGAGTCTCCGAAGACGGACCAAGAGGCCCCCAAGACGGCACAAAAGGGCCTCAAGAGAGCCGAAAGGCAGCCTCCAAGACGGCCTCCGAAGGGGCCAAATGGCGCAAGAGGTCCCCAAGAGCCTCCCAAGAGGCCCTCAGGAGCCCCCCAAGAGGCCCCAAAGAGGCCCCCAAGAGGTTCCCAGGGACCCTCAAGAGGCCTCCCAAAGACCCCCAAGAGACCTCCTAACAGCTCCAAGAAGCCACCAATGTATACTGCTTGCGCGTTGTTGCAGTGCTCATCGGGATTTGAACTTGGCGTTGCTCTGTGCTGACTTTTTGTCGGCGGCGTCGCAAAGCTCAAACGCGTGCACAGTAAAACAGGGGCGCGGAAACAACAGATTCGCGGGAGCGTGCCGTAGACGAGGAACGGAACAGGAGGCGGCCGCGGAGGCAGAGGCAGACGGACGGTATGGAAAATCAGAGATATCGGCCTCTGGGGCTCCAAGAGGGCCTCAAGGCGGCTCTAGATGGCTCCAAGACGAGCCGCTCCCAACCCCAACATCAACTTGGCCCCTCCGTCCACCCTCCGCTGCTGCGACTCGTGACCGGACTGGCCACCTCCCCCCCTCCCCCCGGTAACGCCCGTGCCGCCAGGGAATCAACACATTGCCTCCAACAGGTCCCCAAGAGGCCCCGGTGGCCCCCAAGAGGTACCCAAGAAGCTTCCAAACAACTCCAAGGACTTCCCAAACGCCCGTGCTCTCCGCAGTGCGGACGTGCACCCCACGAAGCAAGAGAAATCTTGAAGTCCTGGCACCCTGGGAACGCATCATTATCATGATCTCTTGCAGGAGAGCCCAAGATCGAATCGACAAGTCGGATCGGCAATCGAAATAAGTCGGATCGGCGGAAATCGGCAGCAAAGTCGGGGAAAGTCGAATGGGCGGGAATCGGCAGGCTAGCTAGTAGGCCTCCAATGAGGAATCTGAACCCAAATCGGAAGCCCAAGTCGAATCGGATCGGAATCGGAATCCATCGACATCGAATCGAATTGGAGGAATCGAAACGAGCCCTGCTCTTGCTTCGCGGAATGAAGACGACGGCGACGAGAGTGACGACGGAGGCGGCCGCGGCGGAGGTAAGGGGACACGTTAGGGGGGGGACCGACACACGAGGAGACACATCGGCCTGGAGTCGGCGACACATCCTCGACAGATCAGCGAGAAAGTATGGACCCGACCACAAGAAACCTTCCACAAGCCACCCAACCCTGCGACCCCAGGATGCATATTTTTTTTTTGTGTGAGAACGTCAAGCCTTCCATAGCAAAACCATCGAATCCAAGAAACCCTGGGCACCCTGGAGGCAAGCAGGGTGTTTCTTGGCATCGTCTCCACTGTACATCGTCGACAGATCAGCGATAGGGCCCCCGATAGCCAATCCGCAACTGTGCGGCGTGTGCTACCCTGGCGATGACTTTGTCGGCGAGCCTTGGGGGAACATGAGAAGAAGCGGGTCTTCTCAGAAGGCTCGGAAGTCCCCCAGACTCCTCAGAATTGTCCTAAGCCTTCCCCGAAGACGCAGAAAACCTCTCAGAAGGCGCGATAGCTTCTGAAAAGTCCCGCTCGCCACCGATGAATGGTCGATTGGGGATGGATGCATCCCCCCCCCCTGAGCCTGTAATCAGAAACTTTTGGATAGCGTGTCACCACGGCGGCCTCGGCAACACGCTGTGCCCTGCAAGCGGACAGCGTGTCGCTCCGCTCCGCGGGCTCGGAGGCCTCGGAAAGCCTGAGACGCTGGCGCTTGGGGGGCTTGGGAGTGGATAGCTTATCGCGCCGAAGCGCGGTGGGCCAGAACTGGCAGAGCGACACTAGAAGACGAAGCACTGGGATAAACAAACTTTTGGCGCTCCGCGCGGGTTTCTGAGATCTGCGCTGGGCCCCCCCTCCCTGGCGCGCGGAGCGCGCCAGGGGCTGCGCCGGAGGTCCTGCCGGGGGGGCCCAGCGCAGATCCAAGAAATCCGTGCGGAGCGCCGAACGTTTATATGTTTCTGCCCCTCTTTCGTCTTCATGAAGCGTGGGTGGTGGGCCAGAACTGGTGGAGCGACAAGCTGTCCAAAATCGGTGGTTCAGAGATGGGGTCCTGAGGGATGAGGTCCTGAGGACGGCGTGCCTCGAACAGCGCAAATCCACTCTTGGATCCTTTTCTACCCTTAGGCCCCCGTCCCTCAGGACCCCCTCTTTGAACCACCGACAGAAGTTCCCGACCGCATCCCGCCCCAACGCTGCCGCCGAGGAGGCCGCGGCGGCAGACGACCGAGCGCCGCAGAGCTCCGGCGGGACTGCCGCAGAGGTGGGCGCGGCGCTCGCCGGGGACCTGCTCGGCACCGTCGTCGGCGTCGCCGCCGCCGCCGCCGTGCTCGTCGCCGCCGTCGCCACCGTCGCCACCGTCGCCGTCGATGACGACGTCGTCGTCCTCGTCGTCGTCGTCGTCGTCGTCGTCGTCGTCGTCGTCGTCGTCGTCGACTTCACCGTCGCCATCGACTTCACCGTCGCGGTCGTCCGCCGCCGCCGCCACCCGCCGCCAGCGCCGTCCGCCCACGTCGCCGTCGCCGTCGTCGGCATCGGTCGCCGTCGCAGTCGGCGGCGTCGACGCCGTCTCGCGGCGGCGGCGGCGCGGGCGCGGACGTCTGCTGCGGCGCCGCCGACGCGGCCCAGGACGCCGGCTGGCCCTGCGGCGGACGCGGGGCCCGCCGCCGCGGCGGGACGGCCGCGATCGGAGAGAAGGCGGGGTGCGGCCTGGCACAGGGCTGTAACCTTAGGTCGGATATGTCCTCCCACAGGCGGAGTTTGAGAAACAGTAGCAATCAAGCAACAATTCAAACAAAACAAAGTGAAACATATGCGAAAAACCGTCGCCATACGATCTGTTCCCCAATCAGAGCCTGCCTCTGCTGGGGTCCTAGCGGATGCATATATGGTCAGGTTGGGTTTATCGCCGAGTTTCGCTGCACGCCCGGGTGGCCGGGTGCCCGGGAGTGCCCGGGGGTGCACTATGCGGGTTGACTGTAGATGGGGTCCGAGGATCGCGCCGCATCGCCAATGCATCGCCGATGCATCGGCGATGCATGATCGACATCGGCGATGCATCAGCGCCATCGGCGTAGAGAAAATCGAGCTCCGCATCGAGCCGCATCGGTGACGCATCGGCGATGCGGCGCGACCCTCCGACCCCATCTACCTGGACCTCATCTAGGAGGCCTAGACTCTCGGACCTCCTCCCTCCCAGACCCGCTGGAGCCAGACAAAATCACGACAGCGGGTTCCTCATGATTTTCGGCCTCGGGGGGTCCTCGCCGGGCCCCGGGACGGTGAAGAAACGGCCCGGACAGAAAAACTGGTCCTGAAGGATGGGTCGAGGCCTCTGGGGATCGACGTTACGAACGAAGCATGACATCGGGGGCCTGGGTTTGGATGCTTGGGGCAGGGCACCGTAATCAACACACGGGCGTGCGTCCCCGCGGGGAAGATGTCCTCGATGTCGGTGTCGGTGGACATCTTTCGACCACCTAGGAAGTCGGAATCCTACCACCATCACCGAGTTCGGAATCATCTTCCCTCATGGAAGGCACACCGCCGATCTTGGTGTTAATGCCAACCTCTGGGGCTCCAACTCCTCCTCCCCTCAGCTCTCAGCCGGTGGCATCGGTTTGATCTTGCCGCTGCCCTCTTCCTCCTCCTCCTCCTCCTCCTCCTCCTCTTCCTCCTCCTCCTCCTCCTCCTACGCCTCCTGCCTCGGACGACAGGGGGGAGAGCAAGGCATTAGGGAGTCAGCTCACGCAAATACATGCCGGTGGGACGAAGTAGGTACAATCAAGTGGATTGGGTCCAGGCCTTCCCAGAGCACAGCAAATCGCCGCCGAAGCAGCCGAAGCGTGACGTGGAATGGAATCTGGGGGTCCAGGAGTACCTACTTTCAGCGACCGGCGTGCAACTTTCTGCTGCCCCCCTCCCCCTTCCCTGCCCCCCCTCCGTCCGAGCCGATCCTCCCTCCTGCTGGCCAGCCTTAGGTCGGGCATGTCCCCCTACAGGTGGATTGTGGATGAAAAACAAACAAGACTCAAGAAGTACCCTCATTATGCTACCGAAGAGCCCCACATACTTAATTAAATCTGATGTGCAATCCTGTGTTCTGAGCCCTCGTCCCGATTGTTTCCCTATGTGTCATCCAACGCCATGTTGCTTGCCACGCTTTGCGAGCCCGCAACGGATAGGGAGACCACCCCCAGCGCACCCCCTGTCGTGTCGAGGAAGTGCCACGCCTGCCACGCTTTGCGAGCCCGCAACGGATAACGATACCACCCCCAGCGCACTCCCTGTGGTGTCGAGGAAGTGCCACGCCTGCCTTGCTCTGCGAGCCCGCAACGGATATGGAGACCACCCCCAGCGCCCCCCCCTGTGGTGTCGAGGAAGTGCCACTCCTGCCACGCCTTGCGAGCCCGCAACGGATAAAGATACCACCCCCAGCGCACCACCTGTGGTGTCGAGGAGGTGCCACGCCTGCCACGCTTTGCGAGTCCGTCAAAGATGGGGAGACCAACCCCAACGCATCCCCTGTGGTGTCGGGGAAGTGCCACGCCTGCCACGCTGTGCGAGCCCGCAACGGATAAGGAGACCATCCCCAGCGCACCCCCTGTGGTGTCGAGGAGATGCCACGCCTGCCACGCTTTGCGAGCCCATCACGGATAGGGAGACCACCCCCAGCGCAATCCCTGTGGTGCCGAAGAAGTTGCACGCCTGCCACGCTTTGCGAGCCCGTCACGGATAGGGTGACCACTCCCAGCGCACCCCTTGTGGGGCCGAGGAAGTGCCACGCTTGCCACGCTGTGCGAGCCCGCAACGGATAGGGAGACCACCCCCAACGCGCCCCCTGTGTTGTCGAGGAAATGCCACGCCTGCCACGCTTTGCGAGCCCGAAACGGATAGGGAGACCACCCCCAGCGCACCCCCTGTGGTGTCGAGCAAGTGCTACGCTTTGTGAGCCCGAAACGGATAGCGTCCCCACCCACAGCTCCCCCCCCTGTGGTGTCGAGGAAGTGCCACGCCTGCCACGCTTTGCGAGCACGAAACGGATAGCGTCCCCACCCACAGCTCCCCCCTCTGTGGTGTCGAGGAAGTGCCACGCCTGCCACGCTTTGCGAGCCCGAAACGGATAGCGTCCCCACCCACAGCTCCCCCCCTGTGGTGTCGAGGAGGTGCCACGCCTGCCACGCTTTGCGAGCCCGAAACGGATAGCGTCTCCACCCACAGCTCCCCCTTGTGGTGTCGAGGAAGTGCCACGCCTGCCACGCTCTGCGAGCCCGAAACGGACAGCGTCCCCACCCACGGCTCCCCCCTGAGGTGTCGAGGAAGTGCCACGCCAGCCCGACACGGATAGCGTCCCCACCCACAGCTCCCTCCCTGTGGTGTCGAGGAAGTGCCACGCCTGCCGCGCTTTGCGAGCTCGAAACGGATAGCGTCCCCACCCACAGCTCCCCCCCTGTGGTGTCGTGGAAGTGCCACTGCCACGCTTTGCCAGCGCCTGCCACCTGCTTTGCGAACCCGAAACGGATAGCGTCCCCACCCACAGCTCCCCCCGTGTGGTGTCGAGGAAGTGCCACGCCTGCCACGCTTTGCGAGCCCGAAACGGATAGCGTCTCCACCCACAGCTCCCCCCCTGTGGTGTCGAGGAAGTGCCACGCCTGCCACGCTTTGCGAGCCCGAAACGGATAGCGTCCCCACCCACAGCTCCCCCCCTGTGGTGTCGAGGAAGTGCCACGCCTGCCACGCTTTGCGAGCCCGAAACGGATAGCGTCCCCACCCACAGCTCCCCCCCTGTGGTGTCGAGGAAGTGCCACGCCTGCCACGCTTTGCGAGCCCGAAACGGATAGCGTCCCCACCCACAGCTCCCCCCTGTGGTGTCGAGGAAGTGCCACGCCTGCCACGCTTTGCGAGCCCGAAACGGATAGCGTCCCCACCCACAGCTCCCCCCTGTGGTGTCGAGGAAGTGCCACGCCAGCCCGAAACGGATAGCGTCCCCACCCACAGATCCCCCCTGTGGTGTCGAGGAAGTGCCACGCCTGCCACGCTTTGCGAGCCCGAAACGGATAGCGTCCCCACCCACAGCTCCCCCCTCTGTGGTGTCGAGGAAGTGCCACGCCTGCCACGCTTTGCGAGCCCGAAACGGATAGCGTCCCCACCCACAGCTCCCCCCTGTGGTGTCGAGGAAGTGCCACGCCTGCCACGCTTTGCGAGCCCGAAACGGATAGCGTCCCCACCCACAGCTCCCCCCCTGTGGTGTCGAGGAAGTGCCACGCCTGCCACGCTTTGCGAGCCCGAAACGGATAGCGTCCCCACCCACAGCTCCCCCTTGTGGTGTCGAGGAAGTGCCTACGCCTGCCACGCTTTGCGAGCCCGAAACGGATAGCGTCCCCACCCACAGCTCCCCCCCTGTGGTGTCGAGGAAGTGCCACGCACGCCGCGCCAGCCGAAACGGATAGCGTCCCCACCCACAGCTCCCCCCCTGTGGTGTCGAGGAAGTGCCACGCCTGCCACGCTTTGCGAGCCCGAAACGGACAGCGTCCCCACCCACACTCCCCCCTGTGGTGTCGAGGAAGTGCCACGCCTGCCACGCTTTGCGAACCCGAAACGGATAGCGTCCCCACCCACAGCTCCACCCCTGTGGTGTCGAGGAAGTGCCACGCCTGCCACGCTTTGCGAGCCCACGTGCCACTTTGTGAGCCCGAAACGGATAGCGTCTCCACCACAGACTCACCCCCTGTGGTGTCGAGGAAGTGCCACGCCTGCCACGCTTTGCGAACACGAAACGGATAGCGTCCCCACCCACAGCTCCCCCCTGTGGTGTCGAGGAAGTGCCACGCCTGCCACGCTTTGCGCCTGCCACATGCGTTTAAGCCCGAAACGGATAGCGTCCCCACCCACAGCTCCCCCCTGTGGTGTCGAGGAAGTGCCACGCCTGCCACGCTTTGCGAGCCCGAAACGGATAGCGTCCCCACCCACAGCTCCCCCCCTGTGGTGTCGAGGAAGTGCCACGCCTGCCACGCTTTGCGAGCCCGAAACGGATAGCGTCCCCACCCACAGCTCCCCCCCTGTGGTGTCGAGGAAGTGCCACGCCTGCCACGCTTTGCGAGCCCGAAACGGATAGCGTCCCACCCACAGCTCCCCCCCTGTGGTGTCGAGGAAGTGCCACGCCTGCCACGCTTTGCGAGCCCGAAACGGATAGCGCCCCCGCCCACAGCTCCCCCCTGTGGTGTCGAGGAGTGCCACGCCTGCCACGCTTTGCGAGCCCGAAACGGATAGCGTCCCCACCCACAGCTCCCCCCCTGTGGTGTCGAGGAAGTGCCACGCCTGCCACGCTTTGCGAGCCCGAAACGGATAGCGTCCCCACCAACAGCTCCCCCCCTGTGGTGTGGAGGGAGTGCCACGCCCGCCACGCTTTGCGAGCCCGAAACGGATGGCGTCCCCACCCACAGCTCCCCCCCTGTGGTGTCGAGGAAGTGCTACGCCTGCAACGCCCTGGGCCCCCAGTGGTGCCGAGAAAATGCAGCGCCTGCCACGCTCTTCGAGCGTGTCAAGCTGAGCTGAGCCGAGCTGTGCTGTGCTGAGCCGTGCTGGGCTGTGCTGAGCTGTGCTGAGCTGAGCCGTGCTGTGCTGTGCTGAGCTGAGCTGAGCT